CTTGGATCTTGTAGTAGTAGTGGCACAGATAGAAAATAGATGGAATTGGCAATGTACCATTTCATGTATTCTTGTGTGTGACACAATGGGCCTTGCATTGGATGACCCGTTATTGTCAGCTCACGTCTGTTGTTCCATATCTCGATCCATTAAGCATGTCTTGTAACCCAATTTTCATCCTGTCTTCCTCTCATGTCAATTTTGTGGAGGTCATTCAAATTATTTGGTGGAGAAAGGACTTCTTGGAAGAGACGAAACTGTAATTTGACTCTATCTGTTTGATGCCATTCAACAATTGCAAAACAAAGGATGACAGTACATGAAGTCCACAATTGAACATCTCTATATGCTTCCGTGGGTATTGGTCTGCGTGACCTGAGAAGTCACTATCTATTGGTCTGCGTGACCTGAGAAGTCACTATCTCTTGGTCTGTGTGACATGAGAAGTCACTATCTCTTGGTTTGCGTGACCTGATAAGTCACTATCTATTGGTCTGCGTGACCTGATAAGTCACTCTCACTCGTAAAACGTGGTGAAGCATTGAATGACTGCGAATCTAATGTTACCATTATAAATAGACATATTCATGTTCATTTTATTCATTCAACCTTCTCAGCTTGTTCCTTGTTCTTGTGAACCTTCTCCTTCTAAAAATGTCTTCAATCAATGTCATTGTTCACTCTGATGGTGCCATTAACCAATGTCCTTATGAAGGAGTCACGTTCACCTCATCATCAGCTAAATTGGTACAACTAAAGAGAGGAGTAACTCTATAAAGGCTCAAGAAAATCATCCACACAAAACTCAACCGAGACGAAAATGAAAAGGGTGACAACTATACATTTTCGCTACCCAATTAGACTTGGCCCAGGAGTTAGTAACTACACATGTGTTGAGTTAAATGATGATGAAGACGTTGAGTCACTGTTCAACATCCACGATTCAAATCAACTTCAATCAGGTATAGAATTATATGTTACATTTGCTACAAACGTAACCCAGCCACCACAACTTTCGCCTTCATCTTCACCTTACCAAACTTACGAAACCATAAATCCATCTTTTCCAACATATGATATGAATTCCGATCTTCAGTCCTACACACAACTTTTAACTGGTCAATTCATGGACCTTAATGAAATACCCTCACAACCATTTGAGCAAACCCAACCCTCTCAGCCTCTTGAAGAAACTCCTATTGAAGAACATGCTGTTGTGGGTCTCCCAAACGAAGTATTTGATCCTTTTAGCGAGGACGAAGATGAAATCCTATCTCAACAGCAGGATGATGAAGAAGACTCCCTCCCACTTCCAAATATTCCACCATCACAACCATTACCATTATACAACCTACCTCCACATTTTTTAGACTTTTCCAGTCAAATACAAGAACATAACTCTGAGTTTGGCCATATACTTGAACGTGAAATGGTAGTGTATCCACCTAGAACACTATTTGTTGGCCAGCGCTTCCTAACAAAAGAACAAGTGCAAGATGCCATAAATAGATTTCACATTGTCAATCATTGCACTTACAAGGTGAAGATGTCAAGCACAACTAGGCTTGTCGTGGAATGCGTTCACAACAACTGTTCTTGGAGATGTCGCGCAATATTGCGCACCAAAGAGCAACACTGGGAAATAATGAAGCTTGACAGGTGCCACACATGTGCTTCCCCACTCATTTCACAGGATCATAACAACTTGGTATCACGAATGATTTCTCATGGGATTCGTGAAATAATACAGACTGATCCATCCACACCATCACAACAATCTTAGCCCACATAAAGTCCACAATGGGTTACACAATCAGCTATAGGAAGGGATGGTTAGGGAAACAACATGCCATTGAAAATATCTTCAGAAATTGGGAGGAGTCATACCATAAGTTACCTAGACAGTTGCTTGCAATGCAACTGTATATTCCAGGCTTCATCTGGAAATTGAGTACACAACCAGCATACAAGGGTGACTTGCTTGACGAGGGGAATGTGTTCTTCAAGAGGTTATTTTGGACCTTCAAGCCATGCATTGATGGTTTTGCCTTTTGCAAACCAATTGTTTAAGTGGATGGAACATTTTTGTATGGCAAATACAAAGGGACTTTATTAGTGGCAGTTGCGCAAGACGGTCACAACAACATAATTCCCATTGCCTTTGCTGTGGTAGAAGGTGAAACTACCGATGCATGGTTCTTTTTTTTGAAAAACTTAAGGAGGTATGTAACTCCGCAAGAGGGGTTGTGCCTCATTTCGGATCGTCACGAGGCCATAAGAAGTGCATACTCCAAAAATGGAAGTGGTTGGACAGAAAACAATTCTGTCCATGTCTATTGCATTAGACATATTGCACAAAACTTCATATGACGATTCAAAAACGCTGCACTGAAGAAAGATGTCGTCAATATGGGTAATTGTAATTTTTTACGTACTTTATATTCTCATTAATATTTTATACAATTGCTTAGCTAGTTATATTAATTTTATTTGTAATCTTGTTTCCAGCATATGGGATGACTGAACCGAGATTCTTTTACGATTACAACATAGTAAAAGATAATAATCCTGAAGCTGCACAATGGTTGGACAACATCCCAAGGAAAAAATGGACACTGGCATGGGACAATGGACGACGCTGGGACACATGACAACAAATCTAGCGGAGTCAATCAATTCGGTCTTGAAGAAAACCAGAAACTTGCCAATTTGCTCCATGGTCCTGGCAACATACACCCGTTGCAATAAGTTCTTCATTGACAGAGGCATAGAAGTAAATGCAATGATTAATGTTGGACATATGTACTCGGAGGTTGCAACTAAAGCAATTCAAGATGCACAGTCAAATGCAAAAACTCATAGAGTCATCACCTTTGACAGAACAAGCACTAGATTTTTAGTCGAAGAAATGCAACATTCGACAGAAATTTGACCCGTAGGAAGATTTACAGTACGATTAGATGAAATGTGGTGTGATTGTGGCAAGTTTCAAAAAGTTCACATCCCATGCTCGCATGTACTTGCTTCATGCTTATACGCACACCACAACTTTGACATATACATATCTCCCGTGTATACCTTACAACAAGTTTCTAAGTATACGAAGGTCAGTTTGGAGAACTCAGACATGAAGACTATTGGCCAACTTACACGGGCTCAACTTTGTGTCCAAATCCAGAACTGAAAAGAACTTCAAAGGGTCGACCCAAGTCTAGTAGGATAAGGACAGAGATGGACATTAGAGAACAACAAAGTCGGCAAAAAAATTGTTCTTATTGTCACATCCCTGGTCACACAAGGAAGACATGTCCAAACATTACTCAAGCTTCTACTTCCCGTTATTGATTTATGTTATTGTTATTACTTTAAAATTTTCTTCATGTAATTTTTAATTTTATGAATGTCATTGCAACTTATAAATTTTAGTATTAGTAATTTATATTAAATATATTATTATTATTATATATATATATCTACATAATATTATTTAATAATGTTTATTAATATTAATAAAATATTTTTTAAATAAATAATTATGTATAAATTTTAATAAAGATTAATATCTCAAATTAAATAAATAATCTTATTATTATTTAATACTTTTATTTATTTTATAAAAATATAAAATTAAATAAATTATTATTGTAATTTTTATCAAATACAAATTTAAAATTATTCAATTATTATTATAATTTTTAATTTTTTAATATTATTTTTGTAAAAATCTCACCAAATTCCATACATAATTTGTTTTTTGTTTTTATATATAATAAAAAAATATTATCTAACATTTATGTTTATATAATAATTATATATTGTCAAATTTAATAATAAAAATAGTTTTAAATAATAAAATAAAATTTATTATTTGAATTATATTTTTATTTTTATATTGTGTGAAAATAAATATTTATATTATGTTAATTTGTGTGACAAATACATTCCTTCAATTTTGTAAATTACTTTTAATGAGTTCACTTCTGAGAGCGGTTCAAAACGAACCGCTCTCGAAATTCGACTACTGAGAGCTGTTGGTTTTGAACCACTCTCCAAATCCTCCAGCTCAACTGCGTGTACGACTTTGGAGAGCGGTTCAAATTGGACCGCTCTTAGAATTTGACTTTGGAGAGCGGTTCGTTATTAACCGCTCTCAGAAGTAGACTTTGAAGAGCGGTTTGTTATTAACCGCTCTCAGAAGTCGACTTTCTCGCTGCAAATTTAAAAGAATTTACAAAATCAAGGGTCGCATTTGTCACACAGATTAACATAATATAAATATATAAACATAAATATTAGATAATATTTTTTTATTATATACAAAAACATAAATGCAAATTATGTATGGAATTCGGTTGCCCCCAAAACCGAATTCCATTTGGAAATCTTCTGTACGGATCCAAATTTGAAGATCAGAATTCAGTTTTTAGAAAGTCGAATTCTGTACGTAAATAGTAAATCGGTCTATTTTGGTAAATATTTTTGGGACAGGTCTATTTCAGTATTTTTATTTTTTTATATATATTATTTTGGTTAAAAATTCACCATTTGTCTCTGTTATTTTATAACAGATGTCATAAATATTTAAGTATTAAATCAAGACATTAATTTTCTCTTTAATTAATTAATCAATAAAAATATTAAATAATACTCAAATTTATTTAATAAACGGTAAACACGACAAAATAGTTACAAATCAAGCTTAAAACGATCGTTTACCAGTTAAGTTAATTTTTAAAACTTAACAAAATAAAAAAACTCCAAATATGCTTATATATTTTTATTATAAAAAACCAATATTTTTTCAATAAATTATTTTAAAAAAATATTTTTACTTTATATTTTGTTCAAGCACTGGACAGTCCCCAGTCCCCAGTCCCAAGTCCCAAGTCCCAAGTCCCAAGTCCCAAGTCCCCAATTGTTTTTCTTTTTCTCATTATTATTATTTAGTGAATATGCTGCAAAATAGCTAGAGTATAAATTTTTCACGCCCAAAAGGGGAAAAAGAAAAGAAAAAGAAAGATAAGCAAAGAGAAGTTAGAGAAAGAGATGAGAGTGGAAAGAGAGAGGAGCAGCCACAGTAACACAATGACGACGCCGAGAAGAGCGGTGTACATAAACCCCCCAACGACGACGTTTCAGCAGATCTGTCCCTCTTTTGTAGCCTGGTTCTTGCAGAGGCCCCACTCTATCCCTTTTCTCCTCACTCTCTTCTTCTTCCTCGCGTGGATCTCACTCCGAATGCAGCGCGTTTCCCACCCTCTCCCCACACCCACTACCACCGATATCACGGCCAATCTCGTTCGGTTCCTACCTTCCAACGTTGCCAAGGACACCCGTGGCTGGTTGCTCGATCCTCTCTCTCTTGCCCTTGCTTCCGGCGTTTCAGGTATTGTTACTGTGCAATTCCAATACGCCGTCGTCTTCTGGTTCTCGCAACTGAGATTGTCTCTGCAGGTGGAGCTGTTACCTGTGCCTCGCTTCACGCCGGAGAAATTCGGCCTGGAAAGTTAAGAGGAAATCACAGACACCACGATTGTAACGAGACTTTTCTCATTTGGGGTGCTGCAACCAAGTTTAGGGTAACACTCTTTAACACCCTTATCTTTCTGGTTTCTACATACTGAAGATGATTTAGGTGAAAATTAGAAGTTGCAAATAAATGTTTTAAAAAGAAGAAAATTATTATTTTTTATATGCGAAATGGTTAAATTATTAAAATGATAAAAATTTGTTATAAGAAAAAGATTCATTATAAATAAAAATTTCAAAATTATAGATAGAAGTTAAAGTTACTACATTTTTAGATATTTTTTTCTAATTAATTTTTTTCCCGTTGAGTATGTCAGAATGTAAAATTAGTTATTATGAATCATTTTATATTTTTATAATTAATTATTAACATATTTTTTAAACAAAATAAGTTATTTTAAATTTTTTTATGGGGATGGATAAATCGATAAGAGATTACTCCACGTAGTTTTAAGTTTTCAGTGAATACATTTAGTTTGACTCTATAATGGTTTAATAATTTATTATAAAATACAATTTTGTTTAACGATTTCAATAAAACAAATTTTCTTTAAACTGAAATAGTAAATTGTCTTTTAATTTTTTTTAATTAATATATTCATACCCAAATCTTATTTATATATCGTATTATAATAATACTTGATTATAAATATAATCAATCATTAAAATCTAATCCACTCCTACTAAAAAGTCAACTTACTTAAAAAATATAGGGATTTTAGATGAAAATATCTAAAAAGTAATTATTTCTTAAATCCATAATTATTATTTTAATATTGTCCCAATCAAGCAATCACACACATAATATAAGTTCGTAAAATATAATCAATTAGGATTTACAGGTGTACACATCAGTACATCTCGGTAAAAGTTGTTTGGTCGTTTAATTTTGCAATGCAATGAAGAATTGTTTTCCTATTTAAGTACACTGTCAAATTGTTGAATTCACGGTTCTTGTATTAGGAACATTATATTTTGCATGAATTTGTTATTCATGACTAAGCAACTTTTTTGATTGCAGTTGGAGAACAGTGAGGTAAGTGACAATGGTTATGCTGAAGTAATCTTTGGTGGAGATGAGATTGCTGTTGCTGCCAGCCCCATTCATAAAGCGCATGCTTTAGTCAACATAGATCCCACAAGAAGTATCTTCTTCTTAGGATGCCAAGATAGAATTATAAATTATAATGCCTCAAATACTGACTTTAATGTTTGGAAAGATCTGTGATGAAATCTGAAATGTATCTAAGCCTCAATATTGCTGCACAGCTTGAGAAAGTTTTAACCTATTTGTCTATATTTCCACGAAATTTGGATCCATTCGAGTTGTAGACTAACATGATATATTCTTTTCTAAATCAAATCAAATCAATTACGTATTTGAATGATTTAAGTACAATAAATGATACTCGAGACTTACAAGTTAGAATGTTTAATTTCAATGGGGAACTTGTGCAGTGCCTATCACTTGCAAGAAAAGAACTTGTCGTGTTCCAATCTTATGCTCACATCACATCACACTGCATTTCCTTCATTTTCTTTTCGGTTTTGGTTTATAAACTTAACGGGTGGATGGCCGGTGGGAGAAATGTGTAAACTGTATAAGGATTACTTGCACGCAAGGGCCGTGTGATGAATTAGAAGTCACTGGGATTTGTGATGAAAAGGAAATAGAAGGCCCAATTTATTTGTTTGAAACAAGATACATTGATAAAGCTTAGCTTGGCTTCCAAACATATTGGAAATGGGCAGAGTTAGGTCAGATCTTGCATATTTGAATCTTACTTAGACGTTGACCATTAGGTTATAACCAACATTAAAATTAGGCTAAATTATAATTTATTTTCAAAAGAGAGAGGATTTTGCATAGGTTTTAAAAATATAATTTTTTTATAAGAAGGTTGAAGTAAAAGAAAAATTAGAGTAATTTACTCAATTTTTATTAAATAAGTTTCCAAATCAGCATTAATCTATTTTATTTAATTAGTAGAATTGAAATAATTTAAGTCTAATGTGAGTTAGGCCATAAGGACTTGGAACCAGAGATTCACGAGTCAGCATGTTTAAATTCAACGGGAAACTTGCTTGATTAGTGAGTCTTGCAAGTTTCAATCTAAAGTTCTAATTATTGGTGATTGAACAAAGTTCTAGACACAGAACATGCTTTAACATTCAAAACTAGAAGTTCCCTCGCTTGAAAGCCAATACAAATGACTCATAAGGTTGCTTGTAGTAAACCCAAAAGGTTGGCAAGAACTATAAAGTTGATGTGCCATTGGAAGGGACTTAGGGAGTCAACAACCTATTAGCACAAAAATAGATCTTTTTGATTAACTTTCTTTAAGAGTTCACACATCTTTGAAGTGATTGCAATGGAGAGCCAGAACAAGAGGCTTGCAGTTTTGGTGGGGTGCAACTATCCCAACACTGCCAATGAATTGCATGGTTGCATAAATGATGTATTGGCAATGAAGGACATGTTGGTGAAGCGCTTTAAATTTGATCCCACAAATATTGAGCTTCTCACTGATGCACCTGGCTCTTCTGCTTTATCTATGCCCACTGGGGCCAACATTAAGCAGGCATTAGCTAGCATGGTTGATCGAGCTGAAGCAGGTGATGTTCTATATTTTCACTACAGTGGGCATGGAACCAGAATCCCTTCTATGAAACATGCCCACCCTTTTCGCCAAGAGGAAGCAATTGTGCCTTGTGACTTCAATCTCATCACTGGTTTGTATAATTTATTTCCCTCTTGAATCAAGTTGTTCAAATCACATAACTCAAATGTGCACTTGAGAACTTTTATTTTCTGCCTACGAGAAACATATTCTTAAGGAGGTCAATGCCTTGTATCTAATTTATCCATGTAATTGATTCTGGCATTTGATGAATTGGTGGTTGATAACTGTTAATTAAACTTAGCTTGGCATCTTCTTAATAGAATATTGAAATTCTAAGCAACTTGTAATATTCTTAGTATCCTGTAAGATTTACCTATCTATATATCATACAAAACAACTAGTTTTGGATTTGGATCCTGTGTTATTGAATAATATAACATCGTTATGTAAGAGAGAACTACAATTTTTATTAAATTTATTTAGTGGGTTTACATATAATTTTTTTGAGTTCTTTTAAATATATGTGTCTTTTTTCTTTCTAACATGACTATATTAAATTTCTTAGACGGATAAATTTCTTTATAAATTCTTTTATGGTAAAAAAGTTTTGTAATAAAATGAAACAAACTCATTGTACAAGTTAAAATTAAATTATGCTTTTTTTTTAAGTCTTTATCATTCAACTTATCTAAAACTTAATGATAATTATTTTAAAAAAAATATTAATTTTTTATGTTAATTTTTTCACTTACAAAGACTTACGTAGAAACTTATCCAAATTAGACGTTACTAACATAAGAGAAGGCTACAAAATAGTGAATACACCTTTAATACTTGAAGTGTGACCCTTTGTTCATTTAGTAGATCACATGCAACTGATGCATTTCTTTCTATTGTTAATGTCATATAAAATAGATTTGGACTTCCGGCAACTAGTGAACCGGCTGCCAAAGGGAGCAAGTCTCACTATTCTCTCAGATTCATGCCATAGTGGTGGCCTCATTGACAAAGAGAAGGAACAGATTGGACCATCCTCAATGGTTAACAAAAATGGCGCACTGAAACTCAGCTATACCCCAAAAACAATCCCTTTTGAGTCCATATTGCAACACCTCTCATCATTAACAAAAATAAACACCAGAGACATTGGAACCCATATGTTAGAGTTCTTTGGCTCAGAAGCCAGTTTGAGGTTTCGGTTACCTTTACTTGATCATGATTTTTTGGAACCATTGAGGCCTGATGAGGGGATTCTGTTGAGTGGTTGCCAAGCTGATGAAACTTCTGCAGACATGAACCCAAATGTGCGTGGTGGAAAGGCCTATGGAGCATTCAGCAATGCCATTCAGATGGTGTTAAAGGAGAATCTGTGTCAGCTAAGCAACAAAGAGGTTGTTATGATGGCGAGGAAGATCCTACAAACACAAGGCTTTGAACAACATCCTTGCCTCTATTGCAGTGACGAGAATGCTAATGCTACCTTCTTGTGGCAACATCAGAACACAGATTTATGAGTGTCGACATCAACAAATCTGAATCAAGAATATCTTATTGTGTGATGTGTCAGTGTCACTACTTTACTGTACTATTGCATGAATTTTATATGAAATAAATGGAAAAAGGTATTAATTCTTGAACCAAATCAATATGTTCACAAATGAGATTTAAACTATACCAGAGGTGCTGAGATCATAGTTGAAGCAAGAATAGCATAGATAAATAGAAATTTGATAAAAAAAACTATGTAAAACTGATATAAAATTTTAAACTGATAAAAAACTTTATTTTTCTATAAATACAAAGAGTAATTTACAGAGAGAATTTTTAAGTTGAGTGAATTCCTCTGATGTTTACAATGAGAAGTTTTTAATCAATTTATACAAAATATTATCTTTGATTTTATTCATAAAAAATAACTATCAAAATATTTTTAGCCTTAGCTTAATTATAAGAAATAAAAATATTTTTTTAAATACATTAATTGCTAAGTTCTTTTATATCCTTATTTATTACAAAATTTATATTACCAATCCTTTGTACATATAAATGGATAATATTTATTTATTTATTTAAAATATAATATTTTTTTTTCTAACATTTACAACATTTTATATAATATAAAATTTTATATAATTTTGTTATTAAAAATTATAATATTTAATGATATTAAATGCATTTAACTGCATTGAGTTTTATAATTTCTAATAAGCAATTTTTATGTATAATTTTTTATTTTATGTAATATTGTGCATGTTAAAAATAATCGAGTAAATAATATATTAATTTGACTATTTAATATTATGAATATTTTAAAATAAAATATAAATTTATGATATACAAGTACGTTTTATTAATTTTAATGAATAGGATAATTATTTTTTCATAAACAAGATTGCAAAAAAATGCAATTTTTTTAATGTTGAATTGATTGTTTGCTCGTGGCAATTATTGTCCTTGGACAGTTTTGCTTTTGATATCGTTGTTCGGTGTACATACTTCCACTCTTGATACTTTCTTTTTTAATTCTTACCTTTATCATAACACTCTTTATGCCATTCAAACATTCTTCTAAGACACTAATTCAATCTTTTTATTTTTATTTTTATTTCTCTTGTAAAAGCAGGGCCTGTTTTTCGTCTTGATGTTTTTACTTTAGATTCTTGCGATAAAAAGAAATTCTTAACCCATTGAACATTTGTTTATTTCCTTTTGAAATTCATGTTGAATTTTGTCGACCAATATCTCCAGAAAATTTTAAGGATGAGTAATCTCAAGACATGATCCGTGTAATCTCTTGACTAGTAACAAAGTATACACTATGGTTCGAGATAAAAGTAACTTTAGTTTTGAAATATTGATATATATCTCGGGCATCTTGTGGAAATATAGATAAAGTTAGTCCAAAGTCATAAAATTATTTTGAAAACAGTATAATATTTCTTTTTAAGAATCAAAGATCCGTATGGAATATTTGGGTTTACGTATTTTCTTAGAGGATTTGAAATTATACTAAGTGTATGTCTGTTTGTTGTACGAAATTGAGTATAAAATTGAATGTTAGAATTAAAATTGAGTTTCAAAATTTTAATTATCATATTTGAATGTCTATTTGAAATTAGAATTATAATGACATGAATTAATTTCATGAAATTTTATGAGAACTAAATTTGTCTTATCTCAATTCTTAAGTGTCCTTAAAATTTGAATTCTTAACATTATAATTTATGAGTACACTCTCATGTGTCGTGTCTCTTCCTCGTCTTTGTGTTTTTTATTTTTCTTTAGATACATTTTTTCTTTAAATACTTTCTTCCTTTCTCTTTCTTTATTCTCCTTGTTTTATACGTATCTTTTTACTTTTTCTTATATTCTTATGTTATTCTGTATTCTCTTCTTCTTTTAATTCTATTTTTTTTACTTTTTACGTTATTTTATTTTTTATTTTTTCATTTTTCTCGTTTTACATTGATTATTAATAAAAGTAATTTTTCTATTCCCATTCTTCTTCTTTTACGTTTTCTTTTTTCTTCTCTTTTATTTGTTACATATTTAATATGTTTAGTTATGCACTTTTTACACTAAACTATATTGTTTATGTTAATGAAATAATAAAATATTTTTCTTGAATTGTTAAATGTTAGAAGAAATATTAAAAATTAATTTAAAGAACTGCTTAAAGTACAAGAGAAACAAAATAGAGAAAGCTAGTGTCAAATGCAACAGAGTAATAAAAATACAGTAAATTATATTTTTGAGGTGATTATACTATGAGAAATGAAATTACTTTAATCAATTACATCTTATTAAACAAGCTTTTTTTTAGCTTTGCAACATTTTACGTGAATAAGAAAGGTTATATGATACTTATCATGTAAGTGTAGAAAAATCTGTTACAATGTTTCTGCTTATTCTAACTCATGGTCTCAAAATAAAAGTTATTAGAAGCATTTATATTCAATTAATATTTTTAAATTTAAAAATTAAATTATATTTGTAAACATTTGTATGTTTTCATTTAATTTATAGAAAAATAGTTCATAACATAATTAAATTTTAATCATAAATTAAACATAAAAGATAAATATATTGTGTCATAATTTTTTTTAAAAAAAATATTAAGTTATCATTTTTAGAAATTTATTTAATAATAATTTTATATTTTTAATTAACACATTAATTTAAAAAAATTATTAAATAAAATTTTAATACAAAATTAAATTATTTTTTAAAAATTTAGATCTTATATTACACTATAAAATTTGATTTCAACTTAAGATTTTAATTCTTTGAGTATGTCAAATATAAAATTATAATTCTAAACCAATTCCAATTCTGAATTTTAGTTCAAATTCTATGTACTAAACAAAGAAGAGATAGAATTATAAATTCCTCAAATAATATCAGTTGTATCCTTGTACATGAATTACTATTTTCTCTCATTATTTATTAATTTCTTCTATTAATCTCTTATTTTCACCTCAAATCACCCCAGGAAAACTTCTTCGTGGTGCAGAAACGCATTAGTGGGAGTGGGAGAGAAATGGATTTTCTGCAGTGATTTTACATTGCATGAGATCCTAACCCTTCAATATATAGAATTAATATGATATATTTTATTTTAAACAAAAATATTTAAAGGAATAAAAGGTGAGATTAAAACAAATGGTAGTGTGGAAGACTTCATTTGAAGTTCTTCGTTCGATCGAACAAGTTGTTAAGCATGGACATGAGTTGCAGAATGTCACAAGGCATAGAAACTTGCAGGTTTTCAAGATAGTAACTAATTAAAAGGAATTACAAGAGAGAATTTTTTAAGTTCAGTGAGTTCCTCTGATGTTTACAATGAGCAGTTTTTAATCAATTTATACAAACTATTATCTTTGATTTTATTCATAAAACACAAGTAACAAATTTTTTTTAGCCTTGGTTTAATTATAAGAAATAAAAATCTTTTTTTAAATTTATTAATTACTTTAGAATATGTTTGTTTGCATTTTTAAAAAGAGTTTTTTTAAAAAAAAAATTAAAATGTGTATTTTTAGTTTTTAAAAATAAAAAACTTTTTAAAAATGCAAACAAAAATGATCTAAATTCTTTTATATCCTTATTCATTATGAAATTTATATTACCAAAAATCCTATTCTTTTTCCATATAAATGGATAATATTTATTTTTTTTAATATATAATTTGTATATAATATAAAATTGTATATAATTTTTTTATTAAAATTATAATATTTAATGATATTAATGTATTTAACTGTATTGAATTTTATAATCTCTAATAAAATTTTTACACGTATAATTTGTAATTTTATGTAATATTCTACATGTTAAAAAATTGAATAAATAATATATTAATTGGATTATTTAATATTATGAATATTTTTAAAATAAAATATAAATTCATGATATACAAGTACGCTTTATTAATTTTAATAAATAGAATAATTATTTTTTATAAATAAGATTAAAAAAATACAAAATGTTTTTTTTAGTGTTGAATTGACTGTTTGATGGTGTCAATTATTTTCCTTGTGCATTTTGCTTTTGATCTGGTTGTTTTTACTGTGGAAGATAGCTGCTTGACCTACGTACTTTTATTATTATACTTCCTTCGTTAATTCTTATCTTGATCGCAACATTCTCTATGTCATTCAAACGTTCTTCTAAGATAAGTCATCCCGTTATCATATTAAACGTATTAGTTGCACCTTTTTTTTTTTAATTCTTCTTAATTTTTACAGTGATTGAGTATAAATTTTTATAAATTTACTGATCCTTTTCATATATATATATATATATTTATTTATTTATTTATTTATGTATTTCTCTTGTAACAGCAGAGTCTCTTTTTTGTTTTGAATTTTTTACTTTAGATTCTTGCAACAAAGAAATTTTTTTAACCTTTATTTCTTTTTTAAATCCATGTTGAGTTTGTCCACCAATTTCTCTAGAAAATTTTACGGATGAGTAATCTCAGGACATGGTCCATATAATCTCTTCTCTAATAACAAAGTATATACGAGTCTATAGTTCGAGATAAAAGTGGTTTTAGTTTTTAAATGTTGATATATATCCTAGTCATCATGTGGAAATATGGATATAGTTAGTCGAAAGTAATTCATAAATTATTTTGAAAACTGTAACTATACTTCTTTTCAAGATTCAAAGGAATCATGTGAAGTATTTGGTTTTAGGCATTTTACAAGAGGGTTTGAAATTACACTAAAAGAGAGAGATTTATAAATTCCTCTCATAATGTGGGTTGTATCCTTGTTACATGAATTACTTTTTTCTTTCATTATTTGTTATTTTCTTCTATTAATCTCTTGTTTTCACTTCAAATCACTACATTAAAGCTTCTTTGTGGATATCCTAACCCTTCGTGGCAAAAGATTCCTTTAGTATTCTTTCGGTGCTGACACTTCTTTTGAAACGGTGATGTCTCCATATATGAATCTCATGCCAGGCTTTCAGGTGAGCAAGAACAACCGCTGGCTGGCCTAAACGG